AAAAAATCTTGCTGGGGCATGACGAAAATGGTACAGATGTAGGTACCTCTTGTGTCTGACTATTTCCTGTTCTCATTCGCTAACAGTCAAGGTCATTCATTCATCTGTAGGGTATTTTTAGTGTTATTTGCTCATTCTTAGAAACAGTACAATGAACAATCCTTTCGCCCCGAAAACTATGGAAGGAAAAGCCAAAGAACTCTGGAATTCCCCCCCCCCCCCCCCCCCCCCCCCCCCCCCAATCTTTTGAAAAGCATCCATTTTACACAGGCCACAAATACATTTTTTTAAAACAAATTTTATTTAATTACATTTTAAATATTTTCAAAGAAATATATGAAGCTGAGTAATCTGTAAACACAAAAAGATTGGATAACTAAATAGAAATCATTCCTTTGGGCCACAGAATTTTTTCCCAGATGACACTTTTAGTAAAAATGTAAATCTTTTGAAAAGCAACCATTGTACACAGGTCACACATACATTTTCTTTTAAAATTTTTATTTAATTACATTTTAAATATTTTCAAAAAAATATATGAAGATGAGTAATCTGTAAACACAAATAGAGTGGATAACTAAATAGAAATCATTCCTTTGGGCCAAATAATTTGTCCCCAGATGTCACTTTTAGTAAATGTAATCGTACCCTGACCTCTTAAACACTGCGCAGGTGCAGACAGACACAATGCTGTTAACTAGGCTAGCAGAGAACTAGTCATTGCAGCAGAGCTTCTTTATAGGCCACTCAGGGGTTTGTCACGGACTGCGACACCAATTTGTAGGTTTTTGGGCCGAAAGGGTTAGATCGAAACAAAAAACGATTTAAATCTATGTTCTTCAACCTGTTCTCTCCTCCTTCCCCCCCCCCCCCCCCCCCAACCCTCACCCTTGGGCCAAGAAATATTTTGCGACCGGCTGACTGCTAAGACAAAAACATATGTAGATAGCTCTCAATGTGTTGAATCCAATGTTATAAGATAGTCATATCTAACTGATGCTGCATCTACTGCTTAGATAGAGATTAGAAGGGGCTGGGTGGTCTCGAGGCAGGATGTCTGCCTCGAGTGCTAGAGGTTCCTGGTTCAGTCCCTGGTAAGCGCTGGAATTTTTTTCACGTGGACATGGACTTCTAGTAATTTCCCCTGGTGTCTGGGTAGTGAGATCGGATGCCCGTGTGCATTGTTACGCACATACAAAAATCCCTTGGCAGTTAGAAATCGAAAAGAGTATCCTAACGGCGTTGCCTGGGCAAAATTTAGAGTTAAAAATCTACCCAAAGTAGTTTAGGATCTTCATCGGTGCTACAGAGCCAGTGCACTGTGCTGAGCTTCTTTGAACTCAGGCTTGAGTTAGAAGAAGAACGAAGCACTTATGGGTTACTACCTGTGTGCCATGATGTTGGTCCATTGTTCACACTTCAGACTTCAATCATAGAGATTAGAAACCATTTGTTTAAAGGCTACGTCTTTTTTGTTTCTGAGAGACGAACGGCTGCAGTAACATCCTGACTGTTGGGTTTCTATGTACATGATTGGGCAGACCTCCAGGAAGTTTCCATAGAATGGTGCTGGTCCATAAGCCATCGGTTGAAGAACATGGATTTAAATAATGATGCTTACTTAGGAGTAAACAGTCATTTTGTTTTATTTCATTTAAAAAAAATATAACAATTATTATTAATTACTCTAACTCATTCGGTACCATAGCAGGTCACCTTGTTTAATTGGTTTAAATTGATAGGATATACTTTCATTAACTCTTTGTAACCCGTCTAGTAGTTACACTAACCCATTCTGCCCCAATTCTCACTTTAACCCCTCTTGTCCCCTTAGTACGAACTGTTCTAACTCCACAGACCCAGGCATATTTATTACTTAATATATCAAATTTTGAGAAAGAATGAAATTAACCCCTACTTGGTACCAAACGAGTTAAGAGAATCATGATAGTGCAGTGGCTAGCATACTTGTCAGTCCAGGGTTATAGGTTTGATGCCAGTCACCTTTACTTCCCTGTACTTTTACCTGGTACCCATTTTAGGTTGCGTTGACCTGGGATCCAATGAAATGATTGGTAAATCTCACTCAATAAATAAACCGAAGACCTTCAGCTAGGACAGTTTCAAGCCACTGTGCTACCTCAGCTTACCTACTGTCTATAGTAATCATGTACAGTTGTAGAAAACTCAGCCAAACTAACATTTTCTATTTCTTGGTGTGTTGATAGTATTTTTCTTCTTCTTTTAACTGTCTTGTTTTGTTTGTGTCTGTTGATTTTAATTAATTATTGATAATGAGGTATCAGTCTTATCACTTCTTAAGTCCCAGCTTTTACTGTACATATATACATTTATAGTTTTGTGGTGTGTATTATTATATGCACTTTTTGTTTTGTTGATTTTAAATCCCATATTTATCGGATGCAGGTTTTTCTTATGCTGCAAAGCCTGTTTGGTAACTGGAGGAGCCTAACATTACCACCCAGCTTAAGCAGAATTGTGGATTTGTTTTTATCTGCCTTGAAAGACAGTACTCTCCGTGTGTTCCGAGGCAGTACTCTCCGTGTGTTCTGAGGCAGTCCTCTCCGTGTGAGTTCCGTGGTCGTACTCTCCCTGTGAGTTCCGAGGCAGTACTCTTCGTGTGAGTTCCGAGGCAGTACTCTCCGTGTGAGTTCTGTGGCCGTACTCTCCATGTGAGTTCTGTGGCCGTACTCTCCGCGTGAGCTCCGAGGCTGTACTCTTCGTGTGAGTTCCGAGGCAGTACTCTCCGTGTGAGTTATGAGGCAGTACCCCCCGTGTGAGTTCTGGGGCCCCCTTTTTTTAAATGAAAAAAAAGAATACACCCACTGCTCCTGAACATTGTAAAAGGTTACTGATAAAGGATTTGTTGAAATTGGATTTGTTGGTTGGACCAAAAGGTGCAGATTCCACAGCCCAGCTCTCAGCCACCACTCCCAAAGAAGCATATCGTAAAAGGCGACTAATTAGAAGTTAGCAGAGATAGGATTTATTGAATTTAGAGCCCAGTTGTAAATCACAGCAGAATGGACTAACCGCCCTTTTAAGATCGAACACAGAAGAAGATGAACATATACCATGCTGCATATGCTCAAATGCTTTTGACAGAGATCACTGAGTTGACCTTTAGGGCACATGTTGTAGTAAAGTTGAAATTAGAAAGACTATATTGTAGACAAGTGTGTGAGTATGTCCTCCTGCTTACTCTAAGTCAAGGAGAGAAATTACAAGTGTTGATAGGCAGTCATGGTGAGATGAAGACAGGCGCAGCTGTTATTTTGAAGTGGTTGGTTCAAATCTTGGTTTGCCTAAATTTTTTTTTTTTGGGGGGTAATATTTTTGTTGGCGCCATCCAGAGTCACCTAAAATGTTGGCAATTTTCACGGAAGTGCATTTTCATCACAATTATTTGTCACTTTGCAATACTTCACATATGAATATGTGAATTCCCACTACATATAGATCAAAGTTATGTATTATTTTTCTTACAACTAAACTTTTTTCATTAAATTTTTGGGAGAGATCTTAATGTTCAAATGAAATTTTCTCGAAACAAGGATTTAGTCTTTAGGTGACTTTGGCATAATGCCAGCAGTATTGTCTGGTTTCTCCTAGAATCTTTATTTGATTCATTTTCTCTGTACCTTTTTTTTTTTTTTTTTTTTTGGATTGCTACTTTTTTTTCCATTCTTTAGTACATAATTTGTCCTCTGATTCCATTCCTCATTGCATAATTTTGCCTTCAGATGACTACTTGATTCCAGTCCTCACAGTACATAGTTTATCCTCAGATTTCTACTTGATTTCATTCCTTACAGTGTGTTGTTTATCCTCAGATTTCTACTTGATTTCATTCCTTACAGTGTGTTGTTTGTCCTCAGATTTCTGCTGGATTCCATTCCTCACAGTACATAGTTTATCCTCAGATTTCTGCTTGATTCTATTCCTTACAGTACATAGTTTATCCTCAGATTTCTGCTTGATTCCATTCCTCACAGTACATAGTTTATCCTCAGATTTCTGCTTGATTCCATTCCTCACAGTACATAGTTTATCCTCAGATTTCTACTTGATTTCATTCCTTACAGTGTGTTGTTTATCCTCAGATGTCTACTTGATTCCATTCCTCACAGTACATAGTTTATCCTCAGATTTCTGCTTGATTCCGTTCCTCACAGTACATAGTTTGTCCTAGGGTATCTGTGTGATTTCATTCTTCAGTGCATAGTTTGTCCCTAGATCTTTGATTCCATTCTTCAGTACATAGTTTGTCCTCAGATCTTTGATTCCATTCTTCAGTGCATAGTTTGTCCTCAGATCTTTGATTCCATTCTTCAGTATATAGTTTGTCCTCAGATCTTTGATTCCATTCTTCAGTGCATAGTTTGTCCTCAGATCTTTGATTCCATTCTTCAGTGCATAGTTTGTCCCCAGATCTTTGATTCCATTCTTCAGTGCATAGTTTGTCCTCAGATCTTTGATTCCATTCTTCAGTGCATCGTTTGTCCTCAGATCTTTGATTCCATTCTTCAGTACATAGTTTGTCCCCAGATCTTTGATTCCATTCCTCAATATGTATGCTATTCAGTATACATTAATTTGTTCTCGTAATCAGTGGCCCCAAAAGATCACCAGCAATTAATATTTCTCTGAATTTTAGTATTAATTAATTTATAAGGCATTGTTTTGGGTTCAAATCCGAGTTGGGGTGGATTTTTTTCGCAGTTGACCCAGCCTAAAATGAGTACCAGGTTATGTCCCGGGTAGTAAACGACGGCCAGCGAGATGTTGACCACATCACTGAATGTCGTTTGATCTATAATGAACATGTCTGTTATAACGCCAAGAATTGACTGAAGAAATGTGACGTGAAGTGTTGATACTAAAATCTCTCTGTAACCAATATATTAGCGCATAATTATTTACAGTTTTTTCCCCCAGAAAAGTCTAATATTTGTGTTTTGTCTGATTCCATCCATCAGGTCAGTCCAGTGGGCGAGCTCGTTCGGACCCTACCCACCAGCACCATGGCAATCTGTTGTCTAACCCGCATATGGGCTCGGGTATTGGGAATAACAGCGCTACAGCAGCCGCACCCTGTGGACAAGGTTCTCATGCGCAGCCGTTGCTGCTGCCAGAAGAAAATGAGGCTTGTGGAATTCCTGCTTCTAACTTTGCCACCATGGAGTGTGAGAGTCCTTCTTCAATTGGGCTCAGCCAGACGCTGCCACCCCTAGGCACAACTCAGCATATCAGCGGTGGCAGCCGTTTGGGCTCTCAGCACCATTACCTGTCGCAACTGCAGCAGAGTCAGCACAGCTGGAGCAGGCCAGACCCTGGGATGCCACGACACGCTTCATTGGGCAACCAGCCCATAAGCTTGCCGGCTAACTCTGGGGTTGTCTTAGGAGGCGTGGTAATCAACCAACCGTCTGGGCACTCTTACCTCAGCAGGATTCCCAGGCCTTCATCGTCGTCCACTTCGTCGTCCTCATCCCTGCATCACGTTGGACTTGTGTCCCCTCCATCCTCCACTCTGATTATAGGTGGAGCAGTGTATGATGCCTCTGGTGTCCAGTTTCAGCGCACCGTGCCACACTTTGACTCACAGCAGATTTTGTTGTCCTCCTCCTCTTCATCTCTCTCGTCTTCCAACCTCCCCGTGGAGCTGACAAACCTGGTAACGATCCACAGTGACTCCTCCCAGAGTCTTGCCTCGGTGGCAAGCCATCACCAGCACCTCCATCACCGCCACTCTCACATCCAGCCGCCCACCTTGATCACCAGTCCGGCGTTGCTGATGGGATCCTCGACCGCCCTGCACCTGACACAGGTGGGTGTTGGAATACCGGCCGATCTTATTTCTACCAGTGCTCAACCTGTGGCCATAGCCCTGTCGGGATACCCCGGCCAATACACGGCATTCACTCAGCAAACCTGGACACAACCGGCAGCGACTTCTGCTTATCCTTTCAACGTTATGGCCACAGCCGCACCTGTAGGCCAAGAGCCAGCTACTATCCAAAGAACACACAGTGCCTCAGATAGAGGGGATGACTCCCCAATGGTTGGAGTCTGCATACAACAGAGCCCTGTGGCTAGCCACTGACGTATATAAAACTAGGAATAAGTTAACCAGGGTTTTACTTTAGTTTTATTCCTGTGAATTTTTGCCACTATTCTTGTGAAACAAGATGGAGAAGAGGATATAAAAAATCTCAACATTGACGGATTTGAGCATTCTGCCGGAATTAAATCCTGTCTTGTGTTGATGGAACCTCTTTGGAGTACATTGTTGGCACTATTGTGAACTTCACCCACCATCATCCAGGCTTGTACAAGCCGCCTTGGAGACAAGTGATATTGTGAAGCATCATAATTTAACTCTTCACTATGGAGTCATACAACAGCTTCTCAATGATGCAAGCTTCCACTGGATACATCCATCCTACTGGATTTCCAAGTTGTGTAGCTTATTCTGAGATGGGGCCCTGTGGAATGTGTACTTAACTGAACCTAAATCGTTCTGAGATAGAAACCTGTGTAGTTTGTACTTAATTCAATTAAATCGTGTCTTTCTTAACTGGGTTTCTTGAAGGTTTAAAACTGGTCATTTTTCAGCAGTGAAATGATTACATACAGAGGCATCAGGCTTATGTCATCCCTGGCCATCTATATGATTACTGCAGAAGTATCTGCAAGAGAAAGCTGCTAGTGAAGTTGGATACTCATTTTCTATATACATATATGAGGAGGCATGTTTGTTTTCTCTGTATGATCCAAGGAGATGACGACACTTGTGGGATTCCCCATATTCATTGAGGCTGACCATGGACAATTCAAACCAGTAAACTACAGCTGGACTTTGTTGAGTTATCACATCAGCCACTAAAAACGGGGGGAAAACCTTGGGTCAGCTGCATCTGGTACAGCCAGATTCAGGATTGGTGACAAGATAGGATATTTGTTGCTAGTCCAGTCCAATATCCACAGGGAACTGATTGTCGGAGCAACAGCATGAGCTACTAAAACCTGCCTGGCTTGTCTTCACATCTGCACACTATGCTGAGGAAAAGGAGGAGGTTGTATCAGTGCTTCAGATTTGAAGGAAGATTGGATGTTCGTAAGTCATGGTGCTGTTACAGTCCAGTGAAGTAATACATTTTAACTTGTGTAATAAACAGACCAGTGGCCACAAAATGTGAAACTAGTAGAGCCAGAAACATGTTGAAGATAATGTCCATAAAGTGGCATTAACGCTACCTTATTCTGTGATTAATATTTGACAGTTTTCAGCTGTTGAAAATCAAGACCGATATTTTTAGTTGATATGTGGGTATTTTTGCTTTGTGGGAGTTTAACTTTTGATGTATGTGAATTGACTGTGAGAGAAAATTCTGTTAATTCTTGCGAGGGGGGGGGGGGGGGGGAAGCAGATTATGATACTCTGGAGAAAGAGTTGTTTCCTTTTTTTTTTTTATGTTACTGCAGTTTAGTTTAATTTTCTTGTGTTAGAATGGAGCAGATCATGAGAGTTTGATTCTTGAATGTTGTAAGACAGTTAATCTCACTGAGTCTTGTCTTTTGTGCGGTTAGCATTAAGCACTGATGAACAACCTGGAGATTGTGTGTTTTGGGTGTGAGTAAAGTGTGGAATATTGTGTGTGAGTAAAGTGTGGTATTTTGTGTGTGAGTAAAGTGTGGTATTTTGTGTGTGGGTAAAGTCTGGCATTTGTGTGTGAGTAAAGTGTGGTATTTTGTGTGTGAGTGAAGGGTGGTATTTTGTGTGTGAGTAAAGTGTGGCATTTTGTGTGTGAGTAAGGTCTGGCATTTTGTGTGTGGGTAAAGTGCGGTATTTTGTGTGTGCGTAAAGTGTGGTATTTTATGTGTGGGTAAAGTGTGGTATTTTGTGTGTGCGTAAAGTGTGGTATTTTGTGTGTGCATAAAGTCTGGCATTTTGTGTGTGCGTAAAGTCTGACATTTTGTGTGTGCGTAAAGTGTGGTATTTTGTGTGTGCGTAAAGTGTGGTATTTTGTGGTCCAGTTGTTTTTATTTTGGTTGAATGAAAATGAGGCAGATTTAGGAAAAGTTGTTTGTTATTGGATGAAAATGAGGCGAATTGCAAAAAATTTGGCTTTTGGTTGAATAGGAATTGGGCTGAATTATGAAAAATCCAGCCTACTGTTGAATGGGAATGGCACAGATTGTTAAAAAATCTGGCTTTCAGTTGGGTGGCAATGGCACAGATTGCAAAGTCTTGTGGCAAATGATAAAGTGTTGTTTTTAACTGATGCTTTCAATACAAGTTGTGTCTTATTTTGTATATTTATTTCTATGGACCCTTTTTATTTTTTTTTATTTTAGCATGTTTTTGTACAGTGGCTAGAGTTCTTAATGAGTAACTGGAGAATTGTGGGTAATTTGATAGATTTTATTAAAGGTTATAACAGGTAGACGCAGCTGGCAAAGTGGTGAGAATGCTTGGCTTTCATGCGAGAGTCCTGGGTTTAAATTCTTCATACAGTGATGCAATGTTTTTCTGTCGGGGCTAGTTATATGGATTCTCGATTTCCTGTTGAGGGCAGAAGTAAACATTCATAGTTTGTGGCGACTGCACTAGTCATGCAGTCCTGAATCCTCAGGCTGTAGACCTTCAATTTCCTACACTGCCCTTCTTCATATTCACTGACTGTAAACTCCAGCGGAAAGTTCAGGGTGTTCGTCCACCTCCAGACTTTATAGTATACGTACACATACGTTTGACCTGTCTAGCTTATTTGTATGCAGAATCTTGGTTCCTTGCCTCTGAAGCAGATGTACTGAGACTTTGAAGGATGCTCCCAGTTTGTCAGCTGCTACGACATACTTGTTGGGGAGGCAGTGGGTCTATTCTTGTTTTCCCCACATTGGAGCTCTGGAACCCGTAGGAGGACTGCACCACACTAAAAAGTGGTATTATAGACAGTCAAGATTTGTTCCTGAGTAACAGAGCTCATGAAGATAAGGTTTGCCAGTTTGTTCTCTTATAAGAATTTTACATGGAGAATTAACTTTTTTTTTTTTTTTGAAGCGTCACAAATTTGGCACTCAGACCTGTCTTAACCTTCCGCCCTTCCAAACACACATCTTTCACACGGCAGTTGTATTTTATGAATAAAGCAGGTTATGTTAATATAATAATATGCATATTATGACTATCAAGAAAACACAAAAGCATGGGAGAGCTAAAAAAAAAAAAAATACAGTGCTTCCAAATGAGACAGAAGAAACAATTTAAGGACAATCAACATCTTTGTAAAGCTTTTACTGTTGATCCTTATACTTTGCAAGTCACTTTAGTGCTTAACTCTTCATTGGGGAGTGGCAGCATGTTGGACAGTCAGAACAGCAGCAAAAGTTTAGCAAAGACAACCCATAAAAGACCTTTGACTAAAAATTAGTACAAGCTGTATTGTGTGTACAATACTCTTATTTTAGTATTTTAGATGTTTTCATTTTGTTAGCTTGTTTGTTTAATTTTATAACTGATAAAATTGTTAGCAGACTTTCAGATGCTACCACCAACTCTAACTCATTGCCATATTCATATTAATTTGTTATGCTTTTAAACACTTCTGTATGATTATTATTAATTTTTATTTGTGACAGATTGATTTAAAAAATTAATTTTTCGGATCCAAATGTTGAATAATTGATGTAGTAAGTTCTTAGTCCAGTTGATGAATGAGTTGATGTAAACACCTGCTTGGTACTGAAAGAGTCGAGAACTGTTGTTACGGCACTAGGGACATTCCCGTTAGTGCTCTGTCGCCATCTTCAGCAGCGTGTATGTAATATTGTTTTTGTTTTGTACGGATGTGAAAAAACCACCATTTTGCAGTCAGACACATGCACAGAAAGGCTTGTGAACTTGGCTGTCACTCAAAGTATCATAAACCAAGAGGAGGACAGAATACTGACATACTTCACAATCTGTATTTCAAGGGGTTTGACTCATAAACTGCATTATTTTTCGACACCTCAAGTCAAATTGGCTATACTGAAAGCCATAAATGTTTAGAGAGAGGAGTCATGGAAAGTGTGGTTCTTGGAAGAAAAGGCAGGGATGACCAGCACGAAGGTGGGCATAGGATACCAATAATGTGGACCACGGAGGCCTAGCAATTGGCCCCACGGATTATTGCCAGTTGCATCTTATAAATCAGTGGTTCTCAGCCTTCCTTTGCCCCGACCATTTACTACAGTTCTTCATATTGTGGCAACCTCAACCATATAATTATTTTCGTTTCTACTTGATAACTTCAGTGAACATCTGTTTTGTGATGGTTTTTGGCGACACAGGTTGAGAACCGCTGGTATAAATGATCTGTCTTTGCTGGAAATCAGATCTCTGGCCCCTTATGATCTCCATTTTCAATATTTTGGCCCCTGAATAATTAACTGAAAGGCTCCTGTCAATTTTTTTTCTCCATCACTGTTAGTTTATGAGTAAATATATATGTGTGTGTTTGTGTGCGAGTTAATTATTTTCCTGGCTCTATATGTTAAGTTTTAAAATATAAATATGTGAATATTCACCTGGTTTTCGTAAAAAGATCTCTGAATAACCTGTGTGATAACGGTAACATAGTACCTCAGAGTCACATGGTGTGACGACCTGTTCTTTTGGGGTCGTCACATCTGTCGAAGTAAGGGCATTTTTGTATGGTTTTATAACTGGCATTGGTTGATAAGTTGTCATGTTAACAATTATGTCACATTTCATACTTTAGATATTGGTTGGCATTTTCTGAGTTTTCATAATGTTAATATTAAAGGATTGGGAGAGTAAGAGTAGTTGCTTTTGAGAATGAGTGCTAGCATGAGCTGAGTTAAAGCTGCTTCTTCTTCCTCTCGCCCTCCTTCAGGTACTTCATTTAGGTGTTGTGCGATGGTTTTTTTTTTTTTAAATTCTGATGTATTGTCTTCTTCTTCTGCTTTGCGTTCACCAGCTGTAAACTCTGGCGGAGGTTCTGGTTGTTCGTCCACTACTGAACTGCAGTCCTGCTCCAGAAGCTGAGTGTTGCGTGTGCATCAGTTTTACAGATTTCATTCTCTTGAATACAGACT